AGGATTGCAATACCCAAAGGTAAAGTTCTTTGTATTGCATAGTTTTGACAACTTAAAAAAATGGCCTGAATATACAACATGAAATTCTACTCTCCTTTCCCTTTTAATGGTCAGTCTATTTGAAAACACATTCTCAGAAGGCCAGGTCAGTAATGCTTTATATCAAGACATTTATTAATATTAGTAATTTTGGGTAGGAAAAATTGGGATGAAAGTACAAGTATTTTGAAATTTTTGAAAAAAGTAAATATTTGAGTTCTTAGCAGATCAGTGAAAATGGTACAATTTTAAATTTTATTTCACAGCATACCTTAAATTTATACAATATTAACACGAATAAAAAACAGGAATGCTGTAGTTCAAAGACAACCAGTTGTAAGAGCTGATACCCTAAATCCAGCTCAATGTTGATCTGTAAGACCTTGTTCAAACTGCTTACCTTCTCAATTTTACTATCTATGAAATGGAAGTAATACTATTTGCATTATTGACCTCTCCAGATCATAAGGTCCAAATGAAATATTATATATGAAAGTGCTTCATGGGCGTGACTTAGCTGGCCCCTCTCAGGGACCTGTGAACCTCGCCCGGGCCCCTCTCGGGAACCCGTAAACCTCTCCCAGGAGCACAGAATAAAAACTTTTTAACCCCACTTCTGCGCGTCCTCTTCTCCTTACTGCGACCTTATATCTGGTGCGTTGGCCGGGAAGGGGAAGTGTGGTGCAAGTAATGTCTGCTGGAACAGAGTGCCACACACCCCCCTTCTCCCTTTCCTCCTCCTTTTCATGGACCAGGAACCTCCAGCCGTTGTCATCATCCAACACTGGTGAGTTTCCCATTTTGACTAATTCCCCAATCCTGGGCACCTAGATCCCAAGTCCCGGTTCCACTTCCAGAGCCTCTGTCCACAAACACGTCAGAGTCTCTTCCACTCCAAAGGCTGAGGTACCCTGGGGACGCCCTGGGTTCCCAGTCTTTCCACAGCATAGCCGTTTCAGACTGAAGACTACAGTGGAGACGTCCACTGTTTTCTTCCAGCCTCCATTTCCAAGATTCTGGTGAAACGACTGGGGCGCTGGTCCTTTGACAGAATCTTTCCACTGGGACTTAAGGGATCATGGGTAACCAGGACTCCAAACCAGACCTAACTACTCCCCTGGGGTGTCTCTTACTCAATCTCCGTGCCCTGGGGCTGGCTCAGGACTTACGTTCCAAATGCCTAATTTTCTATTGCAATACTGTTTGGCCCCAATAATAATTCTCAATGGCCTGAGCAAGGAACTTTTGATTTTAATATCCTCACTGATCTCAATAATTTCTGCCGCCGCACAGGCAAAGGGCCGGAGGTTCCCTAGGTCCAAGCTTTCTTTTACCTGCACTCCTGTCTCTTTCCCTTTCTCTGCTTTTCTTGCAATACCACCCAAATTCTCCTAACTTACGAAACTCCTATTCAAACCCCCTCTAAATACTCCTCAATCCCTCTCAATTCCCCTAGCCTGGAGTCTCTGGGGTTAGTCCCCTTTGGCCTCTTCAGGGGTTCGAGTCCCCTTTGGCTGGATTAGGTAGGGTAGAGGGTTCGAGTCCCTCTAGCAGCTCTAGTAGAGAGTTCACATTCGGTTTCATTGGGGTTGGTGTCTGTCTGTGTGACTGTTTAGTGTGAATGATATATGTGAAGTTCCAAGACGAGAAGTCGCGGAATTTGAATGGGCCTGAAGATGCATTCCATGTGAGGTCGGATTAGCATAACGGTGTGGCTTAGCCCTCCTCTCCAGGGTTTATACGGGGACACCTTAGCCAAAGACCCACTGAAACCTTCGTAAGAAGGGCGGACGACCAGGCATCAGAGAGGTCCTTGGGACTTGTCTTTTGTTTTGTGTGCGCCACTGTCACTATGGGAGGTACCCCCAGTAAATCTACTGTGTTAGAATACATGATAAAAATTTTCCGAAGGGATTTAAAGAAGATTATGGTGTTAGCCTCAGTCCATCTAGGTTAAGAATCTTTTATGAGACCCATCCACAAGAGCACCCAACTTCCTCTTTCTCTGACCCACCTGAATCTCTTTCATCCCCACCTCATAGACCCCCCTTATTCAGGACAGGCACTTTCATCTCCACCACTTCCCCAGAGTCCTTTTTTACCCTTCCGGGTGAGCAGCCACACCCGTTCTCAACAGCCCTTTCTCTGTCCCTTACATAAAGTGGCTGACTTTGAAGATGTTGTCTGTGTCCATATTTCCTTTCTCCCTTACCAACTTATCTCAGATTGAAAAACTTCTGGGTTCCCTTTCTCACAATCCCACCACCTACATTAAGGAATTTTGTTGCCTCTCTCAAGTGTATGACCTAACCTGACGTGACATCTATGTCATTCTTTCTTCCACTTTAAACTCTGATGAAAGGGAGCGGGTTCTTGGAACTGCTTGGGAACATGCCCACCAAATTCATTTAACTGACCATACCATGCCAGTGGGTCCAGAAGCAGTTCCTGGGCAGGACCCCGGATGGGAATACCAACTAGAAACCCAATCTGGGCGGAATGGCCGCAGTCCTAGCAGGCCTACAGGCTGTTTCACATAAAGCTGTTAACTTCAATAAACTGTGGGAGATTACTCAACTCCCTAATGAAAACCCAGCAACTTTTCTTTATGTCTCACTGAGGCCCTTACACAATATACATACTGGCTTAGGCCCAACCTCCCCGGCAGGCAGGAGCTACAGTTTTAGCTACTCACTTTATCACCCAATCTGCTCCTGACATTAGAGGGAAACTGAAAAAGGCAGAGGAGGGCCCTCAGACTCCCATTTGAGACCTGGTGAATATGGCCTTTAAAGTATTTAACACTTGGGAGGAAAGGGCTGAGGCAGATAGGGAATCCTGCACTTGCCAGAAGGCCAATTTGCAAGCCCAAGCCTTAGTGGCAGCCCTGAGGCCGGCACCTACTCAACCATCCAGAAATAACCTACCAACTGGACCCTGCTTCAAATGTGGTAAGGAAGGCCACTGGGCCAAACACTGCCCGCACCCACGACAACCTTCCAGACCTTGTCCGGCGTGCAGTCAAATTGGACATTGGAAAAGTGACTGTCCCTCCATGCCAAGACACAGGGGGCCAACTCCTCCAACCCCTGACCCGCTGTTGACTGTCCTGGGTCTGGCAGCTGAAGACTGAAGGAGCCCCGACTCGTCGACTCCAATCGCTCTCGCCGAGCCCAGGGTAACACACAAGGTAGCGGGTAAGTTGACATCCTTCTTGGTCGATACGGGGCCTACCTATTCTGTCTTACTTTCCTTCCCGGGACAATCATACCCCTCCCCAGTCTCAGTTATGGGAATTGACGGACACTCCTCTAAACCCCAGGTAACAGGTCCTGTCACATGCCTCATAGACAACAGAATTATTACACACTCCTTTCTAGTGATACCTACTTGTCCCACCCCACATTTAGGAAGAGACCTTCTTTTTAAGTTAGGGGTCACCCTACACTGGGCTCAGGACCCCTCAGCACTACTTCTACTACTATTAATCTCTACTCCACCCTCCACACCAAACCCTCCTTTACCTCCTGATTTAGCAGATACCACTGTGTGGGAACACCACCCCAAGCCCTTGTTTTCCAGTAACAATAGTTCCCCAACTTACAGTGTACGGAGAATGTGAACTCTCTTGGCTATTACCAAAACCAAGAACCAAACGAGCCACCTTTTAGCCTGTTATAGTAGGCCTCAGCCTGGCCTCTGCTTTCACTGCAACCGGACCAGCAGGAGGGGCACTGGGTCACAGCATAATGTCAGCTCAAGATTTCCAAAACCAATTAGAAATAACTCTAGAAACCATTGCAGATTCTTTAGCTTCTCTCCAATGACAGCTAACCTCTCTGGCCCAAGTAACTTTACAGAATCGAAGAGCCTTGGACCTATTAACGATGGAAAAAGGTGGAACCTGTCTCTTTCTTAAAAGAAGAATGCTGCTATTATATCAACTAATCCGGTCTGGTGGAACAAAATATCAGGAACTACGTAATAGACACTGAACGGAAACCTCACCATTTGAATGGCTCCAATCACCACTAACAGCCTGGTTATTACCCCTTATAGGACCTCTTATACTAGTAAGTCTCTTTTTTCTTTTCACCCTTGCCTCTTTAGATTCCTCCAAAACCAGCTTAAAGAAATGTCCAGAGTCACTGTTAACCAACTACTTCTACACCCATACACCTGCCTGCCAACCAACCCAATTCCCACTGACACCAGCCTTTAACCACTCCGACCCTGTTCAGCAGGAAGCAGGCAGAACATAACTTCGTCCTTTTTAGTCCTTTTTATCACCAAAAAAAGGATTAAGCCGGAAAGAATTACAAAAACTGGTCAAGCAAGGGAGTGGTTGACCACACCCTATACTAAACCCCAGCACTTGACCCTCAACTATTTCCTGCCCCCATGCTAATAAGGTGCTTTAACCTTATTGGTTCCTGTAACACATACCTGCTCTCAATCTGGTCCTCTAAGAACCAGGAAGAAAATCACTATAAAAAACCCTTTCTTTTACCTGGGCAGTGGGACTTCTTTGGCCCCTCTCAGGGACTGTGAACCTCACCCGGGCCCCTCTTGGGACCCGTAAACCTCTCCCGGGAGCGCAGAATAAAAACTTCTCTTTAACCACCCACCCCCCAAAAAGAAAGTGCTTCATGAACTTTTAAATGCTTTACAAGTATTCACAGTATTGGAAGGAGATCAGTAAATTCCAAACATTAATATTCTTCAGAGACTGTATCTAATCACCCTTTTATTAGGTGTTATGCACAGAAATTGCACACAGATTAGTACTGATATGAAGATGGCTCTTCCACAATAAGTTATCTGACAAAAATCCATCACTTTCTTGAAGTTAGTTACCAAGTCCTATTATATAAAGAATCTGAAAACTGTTTTCAGGCAACATTAACCAAAGAAATTCTGACTATTAAAACAGAACTTAAGATATTATAGGTTGATAATACCTTGACAGGTGGTGTAGAACTAGGGGAAGGAGTCATCACACAGGTTTCTTGACTATTATAGGAGGGACTATCAGTCAGGTTCAGATAGAGCTCATCTTCATTGGTGAAGCTGCCCTGGAGGTCCACTCCTGGAGAGATGCAGATCACTATGGCACTAGTATTATCTGCTCGGAGCATACGCTGCCTCCAGCGGCCTAGTGCTCGAGTCACAAGCATTTTAGCACAAGATTGTCCATGCTCACCCTGTATTGACAAAAATAAGCAGAAAGAAGATAACAAATCAGATTTGGTCATTACTACATCTGAATCTAATTAAAAATTAGAAGTTCAATGTGGAAAAAATTCCAAAATTTCAATCATTAGCCACACTCTCCGTAACTATGTTAATATAGTACTGCCCTAAATTTTTGTTTTGTTATAAATACACAAAAATTTTAAGTGATAATAAAACAAGGCTTTATCTTGTGGCTAAATATCTTCCACTTATTTTTCTTATTTTCAGTAACAAGAAACTTGGTCTCTCCACTGTAACTTTAATTTGGAAAAGTTATATAAAAATTAAGGAAGCACAATCTAAAATAGGAATTAAACATTAAGTTACTATAGATGAACATTATTCAGAAACAATATAACCAGGTATAGTAAAAGGAGGGAAAAAAAACTCATTGCAAAGAACCCATTTCCTCCCAAATTAAGTGCTTCTGCAAATAAAAGACAATGACCCAAAATAAAAATTATCAAAGGATATGAAAAAAATTCAGAGATAAAGAAATACAAAGGCTCTTAAACATACATAAAAATGTTTAATGTCACTCATATGAGGAAAAAGGCAAAAGTGGTTACGATGTAGAAATCAAATATACACCAATAGAGAGACTGGGGAAAAAATGCTCAAATCATCTTGTTGTTGTTGTTATGTGCTGTCGAGTCGGACCCGACTCATAGCGACCCCTCCTTGGGTTTCTGAGGCAGTATCACTGTGGAAGTAGATTGCCCCATCTTCCTTCCGAGGAGTGGCTGGTGGGTTTGAAACGCTAGCCTTTTGGTTAGCAGTCAAGTGCCTTAGGCACTATGCTATCAGAGCTCCCCAAATGATCTTATGTTATACAATTAATTGTGGCTCACTATCACACATGGATTTAGAAACTGCTAAATTTCAAAGAACAGAAATGAAAAGGATGAGCTGTACATGTCTAAAAAAAGTACTTCCAATGATGATGATGAATGTGAAGTATCTCAGAAGAAACGTGTCATAAACTAAAAGTAGGAAAAACATTTAAATAAGTTTATATAAAGTGATAAAAAATATATTAATGTATGATAAATAATCTTTGACTTTCACTGTATCTCTAAAGTTAATATAGTCAAACTGGATAAAGAACTGGCAGTTAGGGTTTATTTCCACCTTCTCCTCAGGAAAATCAAGATAAAGCTTGGGAACCTTTCCACCTTCTTCAATTTTCCGAGCCTATTTTGTAACACGGATATTTGTTCCTTCAGGGTTTGCTACAATGAGCCTGCTGTTGTTGTTGTTATATGCTGTCAAGTCAAACCCGACTCATAGCGACCCCTCCTTGGGTTTCCGAGGCAGTATCACTACGGAAGTAGGATTGCCCAACCTTCCTTCCGAGGAGTGGCTGGTGGGTCTAGTGTCTGTTTTTTTAGGTGTTTTCTTTCTCTAGTGCCACTCTAACAGAAAATATCACAAATGGGTGGCTTTAACAAACAGGCATTTATTCTCTTACTGTTTAGGAGGCTAGAAGTCCAAGGTCAGAGTGCCAGCTCTAGGGCTGGATGCAAGCCCCTCAACCTTGCACTTCAGCTCTGCTTCTTGCTCCCAGCGTATTGTAGCTGAAGGCATCTCTTCACTCAGGCAGCTGCCGACTGCTGAGGCTGACAAACCCAACGTCAAGTAAAATGGCACAGTTCCAAAATTAACAAGTCACACAGCAGACCACTAATTCAAGTCCATTAACACTCCCAAGATCAGCAGACAACATGACAGGCTAATGAACAACTACTTGGCTACACGCAGGGTCCAAGCATGCCAAAAAGCTGCAAACCATTCCTAAAGCTTTACCTTACATACTGGAAGCAGACCACACCCTATAGCAGCTACTCAGCTGTTTACTGCAGATTCCACCACGGACTTGATTACCAGTCTTATCATGGGGAATAATGATGCCCAGCTGCCAAGTCACTCAAAACCAGGCCCAGCCAAACTGACACATAATAACTACCACAATAGGTGTATCTTAAAACCAACTGCTTTTATGATTACAATTGATTTATTTTATTCCTTCATGAGTCAATTTTAGTATTTTCCTAGAAAACTAGTCATTTAGCCTAATTTTTCAAATTAACTGACAAATTTGTTCTAAAATTATTGTGATTAAATAAAATAGATAAAATCAAATTTAAAGTGTAGTTATATATACCTTTAAGCTTCTCTGTGCTTTTTGGTTTGTTTGTTACAAAGATAAATCAAGCCTGGTTTGACTTTTTAAAAGAACTATCCTTTGGTTTTTATGAATTTCTCTGTCATTAATTTCTGCTCTTTATTATTTTTACCTTCCTGTTTTCAGGATTTATTCTGATGTTCTTTTTCTAACTCCTTGCCAAAGTGGACGTGCAAGCTCATTTTCATCATAGCAGATAGTTCATTTACCTAGTTTGCTTTTCAGCATTTTCTTTCCCCCTGTGGGACTAACATGAGCCCTGGATTATGGAAGTATCATTTTATAGGTCACAAAATAAAAAACATTGCCAATTAAACTATGATGCACTAAGTCATCAATTAGAACGCTGTTCTTGTTAAGTGCCGTCGAGTCCAACCTGACTCATGGCAACCCCTCCCTGGGTTTCCAAGGCAGTATCACTACGAAAATAGACTTGATTGCCCAACCTTAGGCATTTCAATTTCAGAAAAGTTATAAAGTGTAAAAAAGATGATGAAAAGCAGCATTAATCTCTAATTCATGAATCTATCACATTCCCCAGCGCACATGTTTCAACATTCTCCAAACACTTCTACCCCGTAAGGACTCACTGAAGGGCTGACTCCCTTACCTTTCACTTTTACTTCCAAGCAAAGCTCCATGGAACAGTAAACTATGTGACCTATCTTTACTTCCTTACACATTTTTGTCTCATCCACTAGGATCCTGTTGGTTTAAGAGCCCCCCTCCAATAATGTGTCCTTTTCAATTCTTCTATTATACATTCTAAGTTATCTCATATATTACCAAAAAAAAAAAAAACCATTGCTATCAAGTTGATTCTGATTCATAGAGACCCTACAGAACAGCAGAACTGCCCTATCATGTTTTCAAGGCTATAAATCTTTAGAGAAGCAGAATGCCACATCTTTCTCCAGTGGAGCAGCTGGTGGGTTTAAACTGCTAATCTTTCGGTCATACCCAAGTGCTTAGCCACTGAGCAACTAGGGCTCCTTCATATATCGCCATAACTTTACCTAACTTCTGTTAACCATCAAATTAGTATTTCCAGGTTTTCTCAAATATTTATAAATGCCTGCTGCTACCTGCATGAACCATGCACACCTCTAACCACAGGCATGCCTCCATCTGCACTAATTATCTACCTTCTCAAAAAAACATGTCTCATCATTTTAAAAACAAAAAAAAAAGACCAGGTTTGCTGGTCTGATAGAGCCTGGTAGAACCACTGACACTATGGCCCCTAGCTGCCCTTCAGGTCTGGAGTTGAACTCACTCCTGTGGCTTCCAGCCAAACAAAAGATAGGCATATATATGAGCTGAACATTTACATGAGCTAGTGCCTAAGGCACTTGACTGTTAAGCAGAAGACTGGTGTTTCACACCCACCAGCCACTCCTCAGAAGGAAGATGGAGCTATCTACTTCTGTAGTGACACTGCCTCAGAAACCCAAGGAGGGGTCACTATGAGTCAGTCGGTCCAACTCGATGGTACATAACAATAACAACAAGATACACTCCTTGAAGAGATCAATCATGGGAGAACAGAAAGGCTGTGGACATATAGGGAGACAGCTCAGGGGGCAGGAGTATATGGGAAGGAAGGACAAAGGGAAAAGGTAACTATGGGAAGGAAGTAGGCAGGGAGCTATTGCATGTGGGAAATTGCAGTCAATGTCATGAGACAAAGTGTATGTGAGCTGCTGTATGGAAAGTGAATTTGCTCTGTAAACTTTCACTGAACCACAATAAAAATTTAAAAAAAAAAAAGTGTCTCTTCTTGATCATCACTCTACGAGTCACCTCAATCAGAAGTTTGGGTATAATCTTTTTTTCCCTCCTTATAAAACCGATTTCTGCCAATTCTACCATCCATATTTATTTTGTGTTCTTTTTCTTTTTTAAACTACCACTACCTTACATCAAGCTTGCAAAATTTCTCATTTAAAATATAACAGCAGCCTCTACTGAGGAAGTCTAATAGATCACTAATAAAACCAAATCAGAAACAGAGGCAATAGGAAAGAATTAACAAGTGAAGCAAGGTGATTGATGAGCTTTATAACTAGGACTCCACTTATCAAAATTCACCTTCTTTGGGGATACTTCATTAATCATTGCTAGCACCCATTCTCTTTCATTGCCAAGAGCTTAATTTTGATAAAAGTAAAATGGCTTTTTGCAGTGTAGTAAATTACTTAGTGTGGCTTTTCTACCCATAAGTCTTTGTAAACTCCAAGGTGGGATTTTCTATGAGCAACTGAGGAGCTATCCACCTGGGTTATTTCTGTTGGGCGTGGCACAATACAATGTTCTGGGAGGTTCCCACTCTCTCATGTGCTTAGAGTTCTGATGCTGTGATTGGCTAGTTTGACCATCCTTCCGGGCTCAAAAGGAGGCCTCCTGGAGGCAGAACTCTCTCTGACTGATGGTTGAGGAAGACGTGCTGCCGAAAGAGACACGCACCCCTGAAAGAGACACGTGCTGCTAGGAAAGAGACACAAGAGACACACATCGCTGAGTGAGACACCGAGGGACCAGCACTGCAGGGAAAGAGACTGTGAGAGACTTTTGGCTGAGGGACGGTGGGCTGGGAGAGAGACTGAGCGTTCTTCCTGAACTTGAGTTGTAGCCTGGTGCTTCCCTAATAAACCCCATAATCTGTGAGTTCTGTGTGGCCACTGCAGTGAATTATCGAACCCAGGAGAGAGGTGGTGGGTGCTTTGGGAGGAACGGTTGGTGAAAGGGCTGGAGGGAGGCAGCATGTCTGGCCTTGCAGTAATAGGCCTTGGGTTACTGCTGGTAATCCTGTCTTCCTCTTGTGAGATTAGAGGAGGTCAGAACACGGGGCCTCCTTGCCCTTTTTGCACTTTTCTTTTTCCTATAGCTTCTAATATATAGGTCTCTTCATAGCCATTACCATCTATCCTCTATTTTCTCCTACATACTGCAATGAGTTGTTGTTGTTGTTGTGTGCCGTCGAGTCGGCCCCGACTCATAGCGACCCCTCCTGGGGTTTCCGAGGCAGTATCACTACAGAAGTAGGATTGCCCAACCTTCCTTCCGAGGAGTGGCTGGTGGGTTTGAACCGCCAGCCACTGCAATGAGTAAGTCTTCTAAAATGCATATCTAAAATATAGCTTTTCAGTAACTCTCCCATCTATGCTAGCATAAAGACGTAACTTTTTAACAGACCATTCAAAACCTTTTTGCCTCATCTTCATTTACTTCCAAAGCATCCTATCCTGCAGTCACACCACTTTACTTATGGAATCAGAATATATCATATTCGTCAAGTAGGTCTTCTTGAACTACCATACACACTGTGTTTCATTTGCCTGGAAAGCGTCTCTCTCCTCCCTTGATTTATTTACCTGGTAAATTCAACCCTACCTTTATGCTCAAATATCATTATCCTCCATGAAACTTCCTTATGTAATCTTCCCAAATTTCCTATCTCCTCCCTCTCAGTTTTCATAATCTTGTTTTAATTATTGTTACATGGATACTTCCCTCAATACTCATTCCAAAAACATTCTTTGTTATATGAATGGGTTCTCCTCGACCACTACAAACTAGCTTTTGTCTCTGTCACACTATTGAAATGTCTCTCCTTTCCTGATCACTAAACAATTCCAACTCCAATGGACCAAATAGTTTTTTTAAAAATTTTATCTTTCTTTGACATCTGATATCACTATCCATAGCGCAAAGGCAATGTGCTAGGTCTGGAAATTGAGATGAATTGAGCTGTGATTGAGATGAATTGAGCTGCGATTCTTACTTTTAAAAAACTCACAAACTAATGGGATTGATATTTCTATGTTCTATTTGCAATAACACAGTCAGTGCTTAAAAAAGACTGTATTCTATTTATCTCTGCAGCCATGAGCTTAGTACCTGATATGTTAAATGAATGAACAAATGGAAGCAATTTTAAATAGGTTCAAATTGCCTCTTTTTCACCTCAAAATATAGCCTTACCACTCACTCCTCCCATCTTAGAAAAAGACCATCTTTTTCAAGGATAACCTGTCCCCTTGTGCCTTTGATTCCAGTAGTTTCCCTGTCTTTGGACTTTTACTCTATCAATATCCTTTATTTCTCTTGCACTGTCAAGCTTTCTCTTAACTACAAAACTCCTTTAAAGACCCTTACTATTTTTTCAAGTTAACAATGGCATACTCCCTTTATCTTCTTGAAAGAGTACTCAATACCCACTACACAACTATTTCCTGGGCTCACAAAATACTTCTTCATCGCCACTTGCAATATGCTTTATGTCTTATGCGCTCACCACTTACTTTAAAATTCTTCATTCTTGAAGGTCCCTAATAAAAAAGCCAGTACGCTGATCTCAACCATCTGCCTCTACTTTGCAGCATTTGACATTCCTGACTACCACCTCAAAATCCTCTTTCCTTGTCTTCAATAACATTCTGCATTATCCAGAATTTCTTTATCTATTCCTGGGAGGCTGAGGTTATGGTGATCAGGTAACAGTAAACTCAGTGAAGAGAAAGACAATTTCCAAACAAAGGTAGCAATTAGGGAAAAGGATTTTCTCACTGCTGTCTATTTCTAGCTTTGTAATTGATTAAAAAACCCACTGCCATCGAATTGGATCTGACTCAAAACGACCCCTCCCTGGGTTTCCGAGGTGGTATCTCTACGGAAGTAGATTGGCCAACCTTCCTTCCGAGGAGTAGCTGGTGAGTTTGAACTGTCAGCCTTCTGGTTAGCAATCAAATGTCTTAGGCACCACGCCACCAGAGCTCCCAACTGACTAAAAAAATGATAGGCAAAATACAGTTACCATGTGACCCAGCAATCCCAACAATTCTACTCTTAGGTGTGTGTATGTGTATGTGTGTATGTATGTGTGTGTGTGTGTGTGTGTATGGAATATCTATGGTCTCTCTCTATGTATCTATATTGTTGTTGTTGTTATGTGCCGTTGAGTCAGCCCCTCATAGCGACCCCTCCTTGGGTTTCTGAGGCAGTATCACTACGGAAGTAGGATTGCCCAACCTTCCTTCCGAGGAGTGGCTGGTGGGTTTGAACCGCCAGCCTTCTGGTTAGCAGTCAAGTGCTTTAGCCACTATGCTACCAGAGTTCCTTATAGATCTACATCTATATATATATATATATCTCCTCTCCCTTTCTCTCTATATATATATCTAAGAAAACTAAAAACTTATGTGCACACAACAAAAACTTACACATCTTAAAAATCTTATAAATCTTCATAGCAGCATCACTCATAATAGCCAAAAAGTGGGAAAAATACAAATGCTTATCAATGGATAATGGATAACTAATTACCATATATTCATACAATGAAATATTATACATGCTCTAATGTGGATAACCCTGAAAATTTATGCTAAGTGAAAGAAGCCAGACACAAAGCCCACATAATGTATGATCCCATTTATATGAAACGTACAGAATAAGCAAGTATATAGAGACAGAAAAGTCTATCAGTGTGTTTTGTTTACCTAGTGCCACTCTGGCAGGAATATATCACAAATGGAAAGCTTGAACAAACAGGAGTTTATTCTCTTACAGTTTGGATGTTTTAAATCTGAGCTCAAAGTGCCAGGCTCTAGAGGCTGGGTGAAACGCCCTTAACCTTAGGCTTTAGCTCTGCCTCCTGCTCCCGGACCATTGAAGCTGGAGGCTTTCTTCACTCAGACAGTTGCTGACTGCTGAGACTGGTAAGCCAAGGTTGACAAATAAAAATGCATAGTCCCAATATTACCAAACCACACAGCAGGCCATTAATTCAAGTCCACTGAAAGTCCCAAGGTCAGCAGAGCATGGTAGGCTGCTGAACAACGACACGGCTACATGCAGGGTTCAAGTGTGCCATAAGCTAGAGACCATTCCCCAAGGAATACAGGAAGCAGACCACATCCCTAAGGCAGCTTACTCAGCTGCTCAGAGTAGATTCCACCATGGAGTTGATTACCAGTCTCATCATGGGTAATACTATATCCACCTGCCCAGTCACTCAACCAGGCCCAGCCAAGTTGACACACAAACTTAACTACCACACAGGGAGGGTAGTTTGTCAGGGCTGGCAAAAGAGAAATGGCAAGAGGTTGGTAATGGGTATGAGTTTGGTGGAAGGGTTATGAAAATGTTCTGGAATTAGATAGTAGTGATAGTTGCACAACTTTATGATTGTGTGTCATGTTATCTACCTTTGTTTACTTATTTCTTGTCCATTCCACTAGTGATCAGGAGCTGCAAAGTCTATGTTTTACCTACTTTTGTAGCAAGGTAAAGGCAAAAATCTATCCGAAGGGAACATTTTTAGTTTATTTGGCCTGACAAAAGCATTTTTCTCACCATCAAGTATTTTTTCTCTTCTTGGTCCTGGCACATTGAAATGGCATCTTGAGGTGGAATCATATTCCAAAGTCCATCACTACCCAAGATAATATACTTGTGCTTCTGAGGGTCAAGATTGTGGACACTTGTATCTGGTTCAGGTGATACAACAAACTCACCACTGAAGAAATCATAGCTCCACAAGTCACCTAGAGACAGGAAGCAAAAGCAGCAAGTATTATTTACAAAGTAATAGTATCACATCAACAAATTAAAGGAATAAAGCTACATGTTCATCTTAATAGGTGTAGAAAAGCATTAGATAATATTCAAAATACATTTATGATAAAAATTTCCTACAGAATCCTTTGCACTCTTCCTTTCCAAACTGATCTTGGTACAATGCAAAGAAGTGTGGCAAGAACAAAGGAAATTCTGCTATCAATGAAGTAGTGATGACAGAGAACATCATCAACATTCACAACTGCACCCAGGGAGTGGGCTTCAAGAAGCATGCCCCTCAAAACTGGATATCTGTTTGCAGAAAAATGAAACAAGATCTGTACCTCAAACTATACATAAAAACTAACTCCAGATGGATCAGACTTAAATGTGAAACCTAAAACTATAAAGTTCCTCAAGGAAAAAACTGGGGCAAAGTCAAGGCCCCTTATATATGGCATAGGAGATGTGGTAGCACAGTGCCTAAGGCATCTAACTGCTAACCAGACGGTTAGTGGTTGAAACCCACTAGCCACTCCACTGAAGCAAGACTGGGCAATCTACTACCATAAAGATTTACTGCCTCAGAAATCCAATGGGGGTTGCTATGAGTAGGAATCAACTTGACAGCAGAGGGTTTTATATATGGCATAAATAGACTATCAAGCATAACCCAAAATGCACAAACAGCAGAAGATAAAATAGATGGATGGGACCTTCTAAAAACTGAATTTTTATGTATTTCAAAAGACTTCTCCAAAAGAGTAAAAAAAAACCTACAGATTGGGAAAAAATATTTGGCAAATGACAAGGAACTTATCTCTAAAATTTATAGAAATCTCCAACACCTCAACAGCAGAAAGACAAGCAATCCAATTAAGAAATGGACAGAAGACATGAATGGACACTTCACCAAAGAGGATATTCAGGCAGCCAACAAACACATGAAGAAATGTCCACAATCATTAGCCACTTGTTGCTATTGTTGTTATGTGCCTTCGAGTCGGACCCGACTCATAGCGACCCCTCCTTGGGTTTCCGAGGCTGTATCACTAAGGAAGTAGATTGCCCCATCTGCCTTCCGAGGAGTGGCTCGTGGGTTTGAACCACCAGCCTTCTGGTTAGCAGTCAAGTGCCTTAGGCACTATGCTACCAGAGCTCCCATTAGCCACTAGAGAGATGTAAATCAAAACAACAATGAGATACCATCTCACCCCAGCACTAATGACAAAGTTCAATAAGATAAAAAATAACAAATGCTGGCAAGGATGCACAGAGATTGGGACTCTTACACTGCTGGTGGGGCTGTAAAATGATACAACCACTGTGGAAAGCAGTATGGCAATTCCTTAAAAAGCTGGAATTAGAAATACCATTTGACCCAGCAATCCCATTAGTAGATATATATCCTAAAAAGTGAGAGCCAGGACAAGAACAGATATATGCACACCAGTGTTCATTGCAACACTATTTACAACAGCAAAAAGTTGGAAACATCCTACGTGCCCATCAACAGAAGAATGGATAACCTAACTATGGTACACAATGGAATACTATGCAACCCTAAAGAGTAACACAGAATCTGTAAAACACCACATAATGTGAATGAACTTGGAGGACATTACGCCAAGTGAAATAAGTCAATCACAGAAGGACAAATATTGTATTAGTCCAGTATTGTGAAAAGTCAAGGAAAGGTTTATATATGGAAGGAAACTTTCTTTGTTGGATACCTAGGGTGGGAGTGGAGGAGAAGTAACACTGCTAGATAGGTAGAAACAAGTATTGATTTAGGTGAAGGTAAGGGGAATGTACCAAATGTGAGTGATCAACACAGTGGCAATGAGGAAAAAGAAGACATAGAGAGGTACATGGGAGATACTGACAACAAAGATGAACCCTTTTGCACATACATTACTGCATTGTCAGTGATGGCAAACATTGATCTGTGGGTGGATAGATGGGTGGACAGGCTGAACTATCAGGTATGTCTAGGCAGGGGGGAGTGTGCCCCTGACCGTGTTTAGGGTTGGCAGATGACGTTTCTACAAGCATATTTGTATGTTCTATAACAATGTCCAGGTATATAGCAGAGGTGACAAAGGACAAGATTGTGGTGACTTCTTGGCCACAGCCAGCTAGCTACCCAGAGGAAAAAGTATCTGGACCTGTGGGCGCAGGACTATGGTCCCAGGGGACATCAAGCTCAATGGGCATAACATACTACACGAAAACATCGTTCCATATCCTACTTTGGCGAGTAGTGATGGGGATCTTAAAACTTGCAAGAGGCCATCTAGATGTAACGATGGATCTCTCCTTGACCTGAGCAAAGAAGAATGCAGAAAACCAAAGACCCATTGTGGTAGTTAAATTTGTATGTTAACTTGACTGGGCCTGGTTGAATAGCTGGGCAGCTGGTAATAGTTATTCCCCATGATGAGACTGAAAAACAACTCCATGGTGGGATCTACCACAAGCAGCTGAGTAGCTGCCTTTGGGATGTGGTCTGCTTCCTGTACATAAGGAGAAGACTTGTGGATAGTCTCTAGCTTATGGCACGCTTGGACCCTGCATGTAGCTGTGTCACTGTTCAACAGCCTGCCATGCTCTGCCAACCTTGGGACTTAAAATGGACTTAAATTAATGGCCTGCCATGTGGTTTGGTAACATCAGGGCTGTGCCTTTTTACTTGTCAACCTTGGGCTTGTCAGTCTCAGCAGCCAGCAGCTGTCTGAGTGAAGAAACGCCTCTAGCTCCAGTGTGCCAGGAGCAGGAGGCAGAGCTGGACCCCAAGGTTGAGGGCTTTACCCAGCCCCTAGAGCCTGGCACTTTGAACTTGGACTTAAAGGCTCCAAACTGTAAGAGAATAAACTCCTGTTTGTTAAGGCCATCCCATTTGTGGTATATTCTTGTCAGAGTGGCACTAGGTAACACCCATGGAAACAATCTATGTAGGAGATCCTGGATAGAATGGGAGAACAATGTGGAACAAAACTCAAAATCATAAAAATAAAGACTAGGTTTGCTGGTCTGATAAAGCCTAGTGAAACCTCTGAGACTACGGCTCCTAGCAGCCCTTCAGGTCTGGAACTGAACCCACTCCTATGGCTACCAGCCAAATAAAAGACTAGCATACGGGCTGAACATTTATATCAAAGAGATACACTCCTTGGTGAGATCAATCATGGGAGAACAGAAGGGCAGTATATGCACAAGGAGACGGCTCAGGGGGCAGGAGTATATGGGAGGGAAGGACACAGGGAAGAGGTAACTATGGGGAGGAAGTGGGAAGAGAGCTGTTACATTGTGGGAAATTGCAGTCAATATCATGAGACAAAGTGTGTATCAACTGTTGTTATATGGAAAATGAATTTGCTCTGTGAACTTTCACCCAAATCACAATAAAAATTAAATTTTTTTTTTTTTTAAAAAAAGAAGCATGACCCTCAGGGACAAGCTTAGGGCCTTGAATTTACGGCATAAATAGATTATCAAGTGTAACCTAAAATGCACCAACAGTAGAAGAAAAACTAGATGACTGGGACCTTCTAAAAATTAAATTTTTATGTGCTTCCAAAGACTTCTCCAAAAGAGTCAAAAGAGAACCTACAGATTGGGAAAAAATATTTGGTAATAACATATCTGACAAGGGACTTATCTCTAAAATGTATAGAAAACTCCAACACTTCAACATTAAAAATGCAAACAATTCAATTAAAAAATGGGCAGAAGACATGAATAGACACTTCACTAAAGCAGATACTCAGGGAGCCAACAAACACATGAAGAAATGTTCAAGATCATTAGCCATCTGAGAGATGAAAATCAAAACAACAGTAAGATACAATCTCACCCCAGCACTAAGAGCAAAGATCAACAACACAGAAAATAACAAATGCTCGCAAGGATGCAGAGATATTGGGACTCTCATACACTGCTGGTGGGACTGTAAAATGATGCAACCACTGTGCAAAGCAGTATGGCAATTCCTTAAAAAGTCAGAAATAGAAATAGCATTTGATCCAGTAATCCCATTATTAGGTATATATCCTAAAGAAGTGAGAGCCAAGACAAGAACAGAGATATGCCTAACCATGTTCATCCCAGCACCACTCACAACAGCAGAGATGGAAAAAAACCTATGTGCTCATCAACAGAAGAATGGATAACCAAACTATGGCACATACACACAATGGAATACTATACAACCCTAAAGAATAACAGAGAATCTGCAAAACATTGTATAACATGGATGAACTTAGAGGACATTGTGCTGAGTGAAGTAAGTCAATCACAAAACGATAAATATTGTATTAATTCACTATCGTAAAAAGTCAAGGAAAGGTTTATATATAGAAGGAAGCTAAAGGTTTATGTATGGAAGGGATGGGAGGGAACACTGCTAGACAGGTAGAGACAAGTATTGATTTGGGTGAAGGGAAAGGCAATATACCAAAAGTGAGTGACCAACATAATAACACTAAGGAAAAAGAAGACACAGAGACGTGCACAAGAGGTACAGACAACAAAGATAAACCCTTTCACATATACAGTACTACATCATCAGTGATAACAAACATTAATCTACGGGTAAATAGATGGGTAGACATGCTGAATGGTCAGGTATGTCTAGGCAAAAGGGAATATACCCATGACTATATATAAGGTTAGGAGCTCTGGTAGCATAGTGCCTAGGGCACTTGACTGCTAACCAGAAGGCTGGCTATTCAAACCCACCAGCCACTCCTCGGAAGGAAGGTTGAGCAATCTACTTCCATAGTGATACTGACTCAGCAACCCAAGGAGGGGTTGCTATGAGTCGGGTCCGACTCAATAGCACATAACAATAACAACAACATATATAAGGTTGGCAGACGATGTTTCTGCATATGTATTTGTATGTGCTGTAAGAAGGTCCATATAACTAGAAGTAACAGGGAAGAAGTTATGATAACTTCTTAGGCACAGTCAACCACCCAGATGG